ATTTTTTTTTTTTTTTTGCATATTATGCACCCACATAAATAACATACACGTGCATATAGTGTGCGAAACTGCACAATGTGTGTGGTATTTATATAAAAATACAGTCTTCATTAGGCAGTACTAGTGCACGCTGTATCTCTTAAGTCAATCTCTATTGAGGTGTGAAGAGAGCAGACTGAGCAAGAGATGAAGCAAGCAAGCAGAGATGGAGAAAGATAGATGTGCAGCCACATGAGATCTCTGAGGAACAGGAAACAGAAGCTGAGCAAAGACAAGGCACTTCTCCCGGAGCCGAGAGAGAGAGAGCCTTCCTCTGCAGCTGGTGCCCTGAGTCTGGACTATCCAGCCTCCTCAGCTGCTGAGAAAATAAATTTCTGTTAAAGCCTACCATTTGTGGTATTTCTGTTATATCAGCATTAGATAACAAAGAAAAACAACAAACCAAACTCACTGCCATCAAGTCGGTTCCGACTCATAGCGATCCCTCCTTGGGTTTCTGAGGCAGTATCTCTACGGAAGTAGATTGCCCAGTCTTCCTTCCGAGGAGTGGCTGGTGGGTTTGAACTGCCAGCCTTCTGGTTACCAGTCAAGTGCCTTAGGCACTACGCCACCAGAGCTCCTCAGATAACAAAGACACCCTCCAAATCTGGTGCCTAGTCTCTGAACTACTAAGTTTCAACTTAAGGATTCAGGGCTTTATTCCTTTAAGAAGTCCCCCTTCCAAGTTTCTTTAGTTGTCTGTAGTACATTTATTCATTTGTATGATTTCAATTACACTTGCATATTAACAATTCTTACCTGTAAATCCCCCTTCCATCTTGTTCCCCAAATATCAATTCTATGCCTTCAATTGTTTATCAAACACCTCAAATTCAATGAGATGAAAACCAACCAATGAAGTCCCTGCTTTCCCCTCCTGGCACCACTCCTCCCAGTTGTCTTGCATCTACACCCTGGAGTCAGCTTTGACTTGTGTTTTGTCTTTTATCCAATCAGCCAAGTGTGGCAAATTTTCCTTTGAAATTTGCTCATATCCTGCGCTTGCCTAGTTGAGCAAAATCCATGCTGTTCAACCCCCTTTCCCCTTGTCCTCTCTGTGCTATCTGCTTGCTCCCATTCTCAAGTCCCATCTCTCACATCACCACCCGGCCGACTGTCCTTTCTTTCCCCACCCACACTTCCCCAGTCTTTGAAGATTCCTTGGCCTCCATCCAGACTTTATATATCGGTGCTCCTCAGGGCTATGTCTCAAGGCCTCCCATTACGCTACACTCTCTCCTCGGATTGATCTTATCCAACAGTTTTAATTACCAACTATATGGACTGACTCAAGGAGCCCTGGTAGAGCAGTGGTTAAGCACTTGTCTGCTAACTGAAGGTCAGAGGTCTGAACCCACCAGAGGCCCTGTAGGGAGAAAGACTGAGGCAGTCTGCTTCGATAAAGACTACAGCCTGGGATATCCGATGGGGCCGTTCAGTGCTGTCCTATAGGGTCACTATGAGTGGTAATCCACAGGAGGGTGATGGGTTATTTTGGTTTTGTGGGATAACTCAAAGATGTCAGCCCCTTCTTCAACCTGACTTTTACTCTCATGAAGCCATGTTTGCTAAACAGAAGCTAGTAAACACACGGCTTCATGGGCGTAAAGGCAGGACAGAGACTCTCGACTTGGACGCCCCAAAGCAATCTCAAATTCCATGTGTCTCAAAATAAACCCAGCACCTTCCTCACCTCCCACCAGATTCAGCCACCATGCTGCTTGTCTTGTGCTCCCTGCCTCAGTGTGGGGCATCAGGACTCACTCAGGTGCCCAAATATCAGCAACTGGAGGGT